ACACACACACACACACACACACACACACACAGACAAAAGACCTTAAAGGGATACATTTAAAATATGTCATCACTTGCTCACCCTCGATCATGTCGTTTCAAGCCTGCAAGACTTCTTTTGCGCAATATAAAAGAAGGTATTTTGAAGACTGTTGGTAACTGTTTGGTCACCAATGACTTTCATTACATGAACAAAAACTACAGAGATGTATTTTGTATGTAAATACAAAGTATCTTATTTCATGTTCCATAGTTTAGGTCACTGTAGGCTAAATATTTATGTGTAATACATTTTATGTTGAATCAAATAAAATATTTATTTCTAAAGTTACTCTTTGTAATGTCTACTCGATACTTTCTCATTTATATAATTAATTCAGAGATTTTTGCTAGCAGATGCTTCATATGATCAAATTAAATTAACATAGGGGGTTCGGCCGGGATGCTGATAGTATTTGCATTGATAGTATAGCATTTGCCACATTAACGAGATTTCTCACCCGCAGGTTTGTCGAACACATTTAACACGTGAGTGTGAGTGTGAGTGTGAGTGTGTGTGTGTGAGTGTGTGTGTGTTTATTCCAGCTGAATGTATGCAAATGAGCACGGGTCACACGAGAGCTCTGTACGGCTCCATTAACGGATAATCCTGGATATTTAGTCCTAGCGGGTTAGTTAACTGCTCATAAAAGCCTCTCAGTGTGAGTTTTTCTCATGAATCACGTGTGGCTATTTGTGTTCTTTAAACTTTGATGGACTTCCAGTTCCAGAGCAGATCAAATGGAGGAGAATAATTTCACACTACAGAGACTAAAAATGTATGTGTATTTATGTAATAATTGTTATTTTTAAATTATTGTAATAATATTTAAATGTATTATTATAATAAAATGCAAGAAAATCTTAAACTCGTTTCAGCTAGCTACCAAAAGCAACCTTTTTTTCATTTTTATTTAGTTTACTTGATATACTAAAATAAATAAAACTGAAACAAAAATTAATAAAAATGATATATACTTATTTAAAAAAAAAAGAATAAAACACACTCTCACAGACACACTCACACAAACACACACTCTCTCTCTCTCTCTCTCTCTCTCTCTCTC